ATTTTGGCATTTGGCAACTGGCATACGGTTTAATGTGAAGTCAACAACAACAACAAACATTTCTCGCGCCTTCCCGACTCGGGAAATGTTGCAATTCTTTTTGGCCAGATTGCAACTTTTTGCTTCTCGAGGAAAGTTTCGCNGGCATTTGGCAACTGGCATACGGTTTAATGTGAAGTCAACAACAACAACAAACATTTCTCGCGCCTTCCCGACTCGGGAAATGTTGCAATTCTTTTTGGCCAGATTGCAACTTTTTGCTTCTCGAGGAAAGTTTCGCAACTTTTTGCGCAACTTTTTGCTCCCATACTGGGCCTACATTTGGAATGTTGCAAGAAAAGTTGCAGAAGTGCAACTTTTCTTGCAACATTTGTGAGCCATAAAAACCGGTCTTAAACACCATCCATGATGGAACTTAGGTAAAGGCAGCGGACCTGCGGTGGGTTTTTGGGGTTTTCGGGGTTCGACTTTTTTGGGGGGGAAATGGGACACAAGTGGGTATAGTCTACCCACACCATTCTCGGACAAAAGTGGGTACTCAAAATCCAGCGCGCGCGCACTCCATAGGTGGCCCCAAAACGACTCAAACCCCCATTCTGACACCTGGGCGACACAGCCAGGGACCATGCACAGCACGGGCATCGAGGTTTTCCCACTTTCAGGCACACCTTCGGCCCTACTACCGCCGACGCGCGCAAGGCCTCAACAGAGTGCCCACTTCTGTCCAACGTCGCAGTGGGTATACCCACCGGCGTCAACTAATTTTTTCATGTTGACTACCCACATATGTCTTTAATTCGACCCACTTTTGTCCCCACATTTGTCCACTTACGGACGGCGGGAATCGAGCAGAAATTGACCTCCACGTCACCGCACGACAGAACATCGAATAGCCTCGGAACGTCTCAGAACCTCCCAACATCGTATCCATGGCTGCCGACTGCGGACCGACCGCGGAGGAACATGTCAGAATCATGTCAGGCACCTTCGGTACCGGCGCGGGAGGATACCAGGCACGGGAAGATGCCCGCGGCAAGCCCGGCAAGCAGCGCCCTAACGGCAAACGCCACAAATAAGTGCGTGACACACAACGGACAACAAAACCGACGGGTCGCGCATACAGAACAACAAGACGAGCATACAGCAACAACACACATACAGAACCGGCCCGCACTTAAGAACCTCTTATTTGGAGCGAGGCTCGCTTCTTGTTGGCTGCCCCAAGCCGAGCACAAGTTCTTATTTGCCAGGTTCTTATTTCGTCGTCCAGTTGTCTCCAGAAGCGGTGTTCTTGTTCTTATTTCATCATCGATTGCACTACTCAACTGCACTCGACGCAGAGTTTCATACCCGCCAACACCCCCCCATGGGGCAACTGTCAACCGTCTTGGTCCACAAGAGTGACGTTGGGGGTGCGTACCCTTCCCACCCTACTGACGCTCTCAAGCAAAACCCATGAGCCTACCGCCGCGTCCGGATCTCCGCTGTACTTGTCTAAGGGCAGCTTCATATTGCGCGTACTGTGGTCTACTTCCAGCTGCACACAGTAGTCGTACAGGTGGCGCTGCGGA